AGCTCAGCAGGTTCTATTTGGAGTCTGGTCCTGAAGTTTTTTTGCTGTAAGATGGCTACCTTTACATCTGCTATTGTGTGGCCAGGGAGGCTGAAGTGTTCTCCTACAGGTTTTTGTATATTGCCATTCCTAATATCTGACTTGTGTCCATTTATCCTCTTGCGTAGTGACTGTCCAGTTTGGCCAATGTACATAGCAGAGGGGCATTGCTGGCATATGATGGCATACATAACATTGGTGGACGTGCAGGTGAATGAGCCGGTGATGTTGTAGCTGATCTGATTAGGTCCTGTGATGGTGTTGCTTGTGTAGATATGTGGGCAGAGTTGGCATCGAGTTTTGTTGCATGGGTTGGTTCCTGAGTTAGAGTTGTTATGGTGCGGTGTGTGGTTGCTGGTGAGAATATGCTTAAGGTTGGCAGGTTGTCTGTGGGCAAGGACTGGCCTGCCTCCCAAGGCTGTGAAAGTGAGGGATCATTGTCCAGGATGGATTGTAGAACACTGATGATGCGTTGGAGAGGTTTAAGCTGAGGACTGTAGGTGATGGCCAGTGGAGTTCTGTTGGTTTCTTTTTGGGGCCTGTCTTGTAGCAGGAGGTTTCTGGGTACACGTCTGGCTCTGTTGATTTGCTTGGGAAGTACACTCAGCTACAAGGAGCTGAGATAGGACATTGCTCCAGTGGCCCTGTGCAAGTCTGTTTTAAATGTAATGGTGGAGGGCTATGTATCGCTCTTCATGCAGATCAGGCGGAAACTACTATAGCAACAGACATACTAGACTATAGTAAACACTCATTGTTGTTTACATTGTGTCTGTACAAGTAGAATATTCCCTGAACATTTCTAGCTTGTTGTGATTGTACAATATCACCCAGCATCATGAGTCAAAAACGCTCAGTAATTGATAGTGGAGTGCCTAGCAGGAGCAGTACCACTAGCAGTAAGAAAACCAGGAAAACGATTAGTTTGTGTACTAAATCAGACATTTTAAGGCGTTTTGATGTAGGCGAGCTTGCGGTAGACATTGGCATCGCTCTGGTCTTACTCCGATCACCGTGAGAACAATTCGGAGTAATGCCAACAAGATATGGGCTAGTGCTCAGCGTCTTCTCTAAGTGTGGATAGAGGACCAAAACCAGCAGAACTTGCCTCTAAGTTTGCTAGTGATACAAGCTAAGGCAAAAAGTTTGTATGACAATTTGAAGAGAGACCACGGTGAAGGATCACAGCCAGAGATGTTCACGGCAAGTCGGGGATGGTTTGATCAGTTCAAGAGGCGCTTCCCACCTCCATAACATCAAGATGTTCAGTGAAGCGGCTAATGCAGACACTGCAGCAGCTAAAAAATTCCCCAACTATCTCAAGAAAATAATCGAGTAAGGTGGCTATTCACCTAAGCAAGTCTTCAATGTCGATGAAATGGGCCTCTACTGGACGAGGATGCCTGAACGGACTTACATTTCCCAAGAGAAGACAGTGCCTAGATTTAAAGCAGCTAAAGACCGCCTAACCTTGCTTTTAGGTGGTAATGCTACCGGAGACATGAAGATGAAACCGCTGACAGTGTACCAATCTGAAACACCACGAGCTCTCAAGAGATTTTCAAAGGAACACCTTCTGGTCATTTGGACATCCAATAAGGCGGTATGGATAACTTTTTTTTCAAAATGGCCGACTCTCTATGCCGTCCCTGCATGGAAGGAATACTGTGCCAAAGAAAATCTTGATTTCCAGATTTTATTACTTATTGATAATGCACCAGCTCATCCAATCAACCTGGACGACCTGTGTGAAAACGTTAAAGTTGTCTTTCTGCCACCTACCACCACATCACTCATCCAACCCACGGACCAAGGTGCCATTGCTGCATTTAAAGGGTATTCTTACACCGTACTTTTGACCAGCTCATCAGAGGCACCGATGGGGAAGGGAAGGCAAGCCTACAATTCGGAAATTTTGGCGTGATTATAACATCCGCAAGTGCATCGATAACATCGGTAAGTCCTCGGCTGAAGTTACTCAGGCATGCATGAATGGTGTGTGGGTAAAGCTGTGGCCTGAACGTGGCAAAGACTTAACAGGATTTAAAGATGTTGTCCCCGCTATGAAGAAAGTTATCCTTGGCTTGGCCATGAAAGCAGATTTTGATGAGGTGGAAGAAGCTGATGTTACACAGCTTCTGCAATCACAAAGAGAAGAGCTAACCAATGAAGATCTGATGCAACTAGAGGTAATGAGAGCAATGAAACAAGAGGGCCAAGAAGTAAAAGAAGAACCAAACCATCAAAATTTGACTGCCAAACATCTTTCTGAAGCTTTCCAAATGATTGAAGATGCTGGCTTGCAAATCCTTAGTGATGATGATCCTAACAGGAAACACAGCTCCAAAGTGGTTAGGGGAGCTGGTCATGCAATGAATTGCTATAAAGAAATTTAAGGGGGGGGGGGGGGCGGGCAGAAGGGAAGCAAAACAACAATCTCTAGATGTGCTTTTTCGAGTTGGAAAGGTTCAGCAAAAACAGCAAGAGGAGCAGCCAGACGATCCACCCTCTTCCATCCTCGGACTCCACTACCTCGACCAAGTTCATTATCATCATTGCTGATTACAGGATTAAATTGTTTAAAATTGTTTAAAATTTATACTTTTTGTCTTTTGTATGGCAGAAAAAAAATTCCCTGGAACCTAACCCCCCCCCCCCCTTTACATTAATTCTTATGGGGATATTGGATTCGCTTAATATCGTTTCACTTAAAGTCGCGTTTTTCAAGAACATAACTACAAAGTTAAGCGAGGAGTTACCGTACAATCAATTCGCAGTCACTTTTTAAAAAGCCCACAACTTAGTTGTAGGAGTACTACAGTACCCAGAAACATAGTACAGTATCTTGCCTACACAGTACCTGATTCAGGTCATGTTATTAGTACCTCTTTCAAGCACTAGTATCACACAAGTTTTGTTTGTTTCTAAAAAAGCCACATTTGTGGCAACCTGCCACAAATACACAGCAATTCAAATACAAGACTCCAAAATGAACAGTTGTGAACTACTCAGCATAATATTTAAAAAGTTCACGGTATTCCTGAATTTCTAGAGTTTTACAGACTATGGAACTACATCTAGATACCACGTATTTAATTGAGGCTTTAAACAGGTCACGCTGCATCTCATAGTTGTGCAATCCTAACTCATGCACATGTTTGAAACATTAGGCTTCCTAATACAAAAAGCTATAGTTCCAGTTACAATGGAGATCAGAACTATATTTTACAAAAGGCCCAAAGCTGAACTTTAAAGATGCAAAGAAACAATTACGTCAAAGAAACCACCGCCACCAATATATGAGGCTTTCAAAAAAAGCCTTCTTTACATGAACAACATCAGGAAAAAAAGCATACATAGTTTCTCAGAGTATCAAGGTAACATTAATAAAGGGTTGTACATTTTGTTGCTTCTGTAGGAACAATGCTTTGCACACACGAGGGGCTCCCAGAATCCCTCCATTCTCCCATACAAGTTCCCCTTATTATTGTGTTACATCCAAAACAGAGGCCAGGTCTCAGAAGTGCTTTGCTGGTACTGGTATATCAGTATATAATAGTGGCAAAGTGTTGCTAGTGTTGATATACCAGGTCACAAAACCCACATCTCACACTCCTGAACAAGATAACTACTATGCTGGCATACATTTGTAGTGCAGACCTGACCAATCAGAGAAATGCCATCAAGGGCAGGGCCTTGCTTAGCATGGCCACCAAGAGATAAAAAAGTAGAACCTGACCAATTTACAGTGCAAGTTTGAAGACTGACTTAATGAAACTGGTGCAAACTCATACCAGTTTAAAACTGACAAGCTAAACCAGTAACAGTTTTAAACTGATATAAGTGTGACCACACTTGGGGTTTGCACCAGTTTAACCATGACCTGGTCTAACACTGTTTTTCCAGCATAACTATATTGGTAGTGGTTTTTTTTTTTTTAATTAAATTAATTTTACGCCAGCAAAACTCCCCTAATGTAGATGTAATTATACTGACCTATCTTATTTCAGTTTAATAAAGTGAAATAAGCTATACCAACTTAACTTCATCTACACTAGCTATACCAGTAGAACTGCATCTACAACAGGGTTTTTGCTGCTTTAACTATATTGGCATAGTTAAACCAGCAGAATTTAAGTGTAGACAAGGCCTAATTGGTTTAAAAACAACAATTAAAATGACCACAAACTGTTTAGGCCAACCTTTAGAAGGCAGTTTAAAAACACAAGGGTCTGAGTTAAACAGATGTTAAAAACAAACTGGGAGAAGAGAAGTCTTGTGAGAGATTAGTCACTCTTGCAATTTTTATTTAAACACAGGAGTTTATACCAGTGCCACCATATATGTTTAAACCACATGAAGTTAAACTAGACTAGCGTAACAGACAGGTTCTAAGAGTTCACCCATGCCAACCACTATAACAAGTCATATAGTTTTACTTACATTTAATACTTCTTGCCTGGGCTGTGGAGGTTCTATACAAGTAAGCAGCCTGAGCAACAAGTCCATAATAGCAGAGGTCCCTATGTGCTTTATAATGAGGTCTACAAAATCATGTTTTTTCTTTAAGAAATCCACAATCTAGAAGAAATAATAAAAAAACAAAGTTTACATTTTGCTGCAAGTACTTTTTCTTTATTTCCCCTAGTAGATTAGTATTTCAAATATGTTCTGTTTCACAAGTTTTGAGAGTGGTGAAGGCAGGAGAAGAGATTCCTGAACAAAATGTTCACCTATCTAGAGTGGGCAATCCAAAATTAGGCAGACTTTTTAACACTGTCCTTTTAAACTAAAGAAGAACAGTTTAAAGCACTTCAAGCAGATCTTTAGTTGTGTTATTAACACCTTATTTCTCTTTTTTTTATTTAGTCATTTACTTGTTGCATTTCATTTAGCTTGGACAATGAAAACCAAGCCTATTCCACTTTCAGATTCTTAGTGCTGCATTATTTGGATTTTAAACACTGCAGGGGATTATTTAAAAACTTTTCATTGGAATTGCAAAGTGTGGAAGCATTTCTTATTTTTATTTGGCTTATCTACAAAATTTAAGAAGTTATGCATGACAAATAGAAATGTGGACCAAGGAGTTTTTTTGGTGGTGCTGAGTCAAATAAGTAGATTTCTTTAGAGTCTTCCCAGAGCAATAATTTGAATAAGAGAAGAATACTGTAAATCTCACTTGGCACTCAGTGGAAACACAAATTAAGTTATCATGACTGTTAGAAGATTATGGGAATCCTTTATGCTGAGGATAGTTTCTAAAGCAATTCATAAAATTAAAGCAAGCATTGAAACAAAGCATTTAAAACATTAAGGGAAGCAGCATGAACAGAACTGCATTGTGAGAGTACTTTGTAACAGACTAGTTCACACTTGTTAACAGGTAACCAGATACCACTATGAATGTTATCTAGCCACTGAAATCCAATGCATTAGATCAGTATCAGAAGTCATTAAATTTGTCTGGCACTTACTTCAGCTAAGTCCCAAAATTTGCCCTTTCCCAAAAACTTAAGTTCTTGAAAATTGCTTCACAAAATATGGTTCCACTAGCTACAGCAAAATTTTTATAACGGTTGTGGAAACCCACAGAGAGATTTATCAATAGGCTTTTTTATTTTTATAAGGAAGATGCTCCTTCACCCATAAGGCCGATAATAATCAGATAATTTTACCCAAAACTGTTCTTGAAGAGTGTCAGGAAAGAGCAAGTTTTCCTAGGGAGATGTGGTATGTGTTGGGGGAGCAGACAGTACTGAACCACAAGGGGAAGGAGGATAGAACCCCAATGGAACAGGATATTGTCCTGGCATCACAGGAGAAAGAGGACACTTATTCTTGATAGCTTCTCTATGATATTTAAGGAGTCAGAGGTAGAGGATCCCAGCTGCTGGGACCAGTTACAGTTCTGTGGTCTGCTCCACTTTAGACCAAGTTCTTGCTTGCGCACAGAACTCTTCACACAAAGAGCTTTAAAAAAGAAAAAGAAAAAAAGAAAAGAAAATGGAGGGGAGAAGGAGATGAGTAAGATGGGAGGCCCCATAAGAGCTGTCGTGCCCATCTTACCTCTGCAAAGCAATAAGCTAAACAAATGGTGATAGCAATAGTGAGCTGTAAGATAGTACTGCAGCCCTCACATTTCCTGCAGCAACGCTCTTCTTTCTCCGCCACCACTACTTTAACATACTATTGGAACCACAAACATCCATGCTGGAAAAAAACAGGTCTGAAAGCTATACTGTGGCTGTGTCTACACAGCCACAAATTGAATTGCATAATTCATCACTGCTCCAACTCCACTGGTAATAGCAACAAAGGAAGCTGTAGTGCAGACTGAGCTCAGGCACGATTAGATGACCTGGTGGGAAAACCCTGAGCCCTGTCTATACATTACAGCTTCCACCAGCCGAGCTATACTGGTGGTGAATTACACCCCCAAATATTGCCCAGAGAGAAGGCAAAAGGCACATCTATTCTATAAGTAGAACCTTACAGGGAATTTTTTTTACGATAGGGTTCCATTATCTAGTGTAGGCCACATCATTTAGTATGAACCATGCTGGAGTCATGGACCATGTACAGGTTTACCTTTAAAGTACTGTCCACACTACTAAAAAAAGAACTACTTTATCTACACCAGGGACAACCTTCCTATACCCTGATCCAACACTTTACTATAATTAGAACCAAGCTACATCCAGTTGGGCTCCATCTAACAGGATTTCCTGTTTAATTGAGGCCACCCACAATTTTGTACAAGTAATAGGGTTATCCAGTCAGTCCACTTTCAAGGTCTCTTTCTGGGAGGAAAATAAAAAGTGCATTGCACTATGGAAAAAAAACAAAAAACCCACAAAAACAATTCTCTTTCTGGCAATAGCAGCTCAGGCAATATAGAAAAGCTACCCAGAATCTACTAATACAAGAATAACTAGTGTGGTAAGCATGGATAGGCCATGGCTCTTCACACACAACAGTACAATGAAAAATGCTTTGTTCACTCTGCAAACAGTTAGCTACAGTTATCAGAACCATGCGAAAATTTAAGTAGGCTCTATCTGTGGTCTGTGAATAGGCCTAAACAGACTACTAGTGATACACTGCTGCTATCATCAGATCATTAAGCACAAGAGACTAAGTAACAAGACACAGAATGGGTGATTTCTAGCAGTGCTAATGACATTGCCTATAATGGAGAGGATGGATTTGAATATACAGAAAAGGAATCTTATTGAACTAAGACAAACTGAAGATGTTATTTTCAAATATTTTGTAAAGGTTGCACTATACAATAATTTTACAAAGAGGACTAGATGATCATGATAGTCCCTTCTGGCCTTAAAAAACCTATTAAACCTCTTTAACTAAGGGATGGTGACAGCAAGAAGTCAATTCAGGAACGGACGGAAGAAAATACTTCCCCTTAGTAACACATTTCTGACCAGACAGCTGTTCTGATAAACAAAGTTAGGACAAGATAAGCCAGTGTGAGTTACCCAGATTTTGTTATATTCTTAAAGTGTTCATCTCTACTAGAAAACTTTCAATTGTCATGGGAAAAGTGAATCCGGTTGCTTGATTCAGCTACAACCTTTTAAAATGGAAGCCCTACAGAGGAGCACATCTCAATATTGCAGCTATTGAAGCACATGCTACAAACGGAAGAGCTTGTAAATATTTACCTGTTCCGGTTTTCTGCTGATAAGAATACTTAGCACCTTGCTGAAGAAACTGGCCAATAAAGGGTTGAGAGGGGATTCATTTAATAGGAAGCTGTACAGTTTCATAAGTAAGGATTCTTCTTCTCCCAGTCTATCATTGATCTGCGAGACATCTGACGTAAGAAGCTCACAAGATATGTTTGGATACCTAGAAAAAAAGGGACACCTTCCATCACTCATGCTTATAAAACAAATATTACACAGTAAAATATGGAATCAAAATGAAGCAGTTTGGTGGGCTTGTTGGATAGATATGGAAAACGGTAAGGCTGCTGATTTGCAGAGAGTTGGGTAAATTAGTCTAAATATAAATTTACTGGTCTGTAAAAAGGTTTTATGCTTTTATTCTGAGATCAGGCTTCTCCAGTCTCCCACAATACTGCAGCAGTACAGATATCACACAAGTTGAGAGTCAGAAGCAATACAAATAGTATATGGTGGGCTTTTAGCTTAATATCTACTGGTTAGCCCTCCTGTCTGAGCACTAACCTCCCCACTTCAGAAACCATTTCCCATTTTGTCTTGGGGGGGAGGGGGAAGGTGGGATCGATTCACGTGTCAGCAAGCAAAGAACAGATAGTCCTGATACTCTGTTTTATTCCCAGAGTTCATATGAAGACCACAAAGTCAGCATGATGATTTTTGGATCAATAATATTTCTAACGTTTTTAATATGTTTGTTAAAAGTCTCCCTAATTCAGGCAGCAGCATCTCTCTCAAAACCCTACCAAGTTGACTAGATTGCCTCATGCCAAGTTAGAAACAAAAAAAACGGACAGTCTTTGGATAGTTTAATCTAAAATACTACAACATACACAATATCTACATGCAAAACAACATAAGGCTTTATCCACTTTACACTGGGTAGCTATATAGCAAAGAACAATTTTCCAGTATTTTAGTAACAAAGGTATGCAGACCCACAGTCCTGTGCATTTATTCACTTAAGTTTATTTCTTTTAAAAAATGCCTCTAAGTGCTTTAAAAACAAATTTAAAGAAACCAATAGTTAGCATATGGACTTATTTTAAATGCATGGATATCACACAGTAAGAGCTGTGGGACAGCATCTCAGTTACTTTAGTTAAATATACCTTAATCTCTGCCCAAAACTTAACTAGAAGCCACAGCAAACTATGGAGGCCTGACGTAACATACTCTTTGCCTGAAATACTGCTTATTAAGATGGCAGCCACATTATGCCCTTAGTTTTCAAGTGATCATCAGGTGCAGCTCCATGTACATTGCACTGAAATAGCCTAAGCCAGATGGGAGAAGTGCTTCGATAACTGTAGCAAGGTATATAAATAAAAGTCTGAACCCTTTTTTGCCAAACTCACGAAAAACGGTTCTTGGCCACATCTGCAGGTTCATATCTCCACACTGAAGGTTCATAATTAGAGATTAACCACATTCCCTTACAACGGTAATAGAATCTCTACCATTCATCCCCAATGATCTTCACTAGCCATTAACAACATGGGTACAAGTGTTTGATTGGGTGGTATATTCCTCACAAATCCCTATTTGTATCACTATTTCTAATGATACAACAAGGAGTGAGGCTTTCTAGACAGTCACTTGAGATATTCCCTTCAATGGACCCTTTCACCTTTTGGGCACCAAATCAATTTAGGTAGGGTTACCATATTTAACAAATAAAAAAAAAAAAAAACGACCCTCCACGGGGCCCTGGCCCTGCCCATTTCCCACCCCCAGCCCTGCCCCAACTGCGCCCCTTCCCCGCTCCAACCCCGCCCCCTCCTCCCTCCCACTCCCAGCCACGCGAAAAGGGCTGCCCGAGCGCTACCGGCTTCACGGTTTGCCGGGTAGCCCCCAGGCCCTGCGCCCCCAGCCGACGCTTCCCCAGCGCAGCTGGAGCCCGGGAGGGGGAAGCGCCCAGCCGGGGGCGCAGGGTCTGGAGGCTGCCCGGCAAA